TAGATGCAATATATTTTTTTGACACATGTTTGTGTGATTCGTGACAAAATCAATCGCACCTGATAGAAAACATAATAACTAAAATGTTTTTCGATTTTAACATGTTTCTTTGATCCGTCGTCCAACGTTGCTGACATCGCGTAGTCGCATCTGTCAAAAAAATTATATAACAATTGATGCTTTTTCTTGCTTTGTGCCGGTTGCATCCAATTGCAATATAATTCTACATTGTTTACTTAAAAAGAGAAGTCCACTTGAACTAACATAAAACCTTTTTTCTGTTAAATGAGTATTAAGAGTGTCAACAGCTAAGTAAGCGAACGAATAAAGAAATATTTTTTCTAACTAATGTTCGATACAAACACATGAAAAGACTTGCTATCAAGTTCATTGTACAAAAGTATATTCTCTATAATAAAAAATACGGGCATTTTCTGCACAGATATTCTCTAACGCAAAATGAATCCCCAAAATAAATATGGTTACCCGATGCCAGTTAGATACATTGTACCAATGCGCCAACAACCAACGACCTCTCCGCCCTTTGCTAATCAGGCATTTAATCGTTTTAACGTTCCACAACAACCTCAACCAGGCGTGACGTATATGCAACCAGTTCGAGGACAATTATTTTATCAGAATCCCGGTGTTTATGCTATGCCGCAGCAAATGCCAGTTCGTCCATACGGCTATCATCCTGGTTTCGGGCAAATTCCGTCACAACCCGTCTCTGCAAGGATGCAAGCACCAATTCAGCAGCCGCAGCAATATAACAATCCCTATCAACCGCCACAACAACAACAACAACCACCACCATCGCAGCAAAAAACAAGTAAATCGAAAAAGAATAAGGAATATGCTGATGCTGCTTTCACTATTGATCCAACGAAACAAGAAGCTATCAAAGGTTTATTATCAAATAATGATATTAATGACTTGTTAAAAGTGAAAGGCACAAAAGTGAAAGTAGCAAAAATATATCGAATAACAAAAACTAAGCCAGAACAATCGGACTCAGATGATGACGATGAATATGAACCAGTGGTCCTTGATTCTCCAACGCAAAAAAGTCGTTCACAACAACAACGCCCCATATCTGCAGACAGTCATTGTTCAACATGTAGTTCGTGTTCGTGTTCCGAATGTCGTGGCGAACACGATAATTGTCCAGAGTGTCTTGCTGAAAAAGAGAGAATGAGACGTTCTCAGCGAAAGTGGTAAAATAAAAAAAAGAGCTAGTCTTCTGTTAAATATTAATTTTGAGCACGAAGTTGAGAAGATTTCAATATCTTCCCACCTTTAGGTTAAGCAAGTTCTAGTAAATGTTATGTTATGTTATGTTATGTTAAGTGTTAATGGTCTGTAACTAACTCATCGACTAGTTAATTTATAGATATTTTCATGTTTTATGTTCAAAATACTGTACGGTCTACTAATTGGAGTACCTGTTAAATTACTGTACTTTTGTAAATATTCATTTGTGCTTGTTTCTCTGTTTATTAAGTTAAAATGATTTGAGTAGAACCACGATTTGATTTGGGAATTGACGGTACTTCGAGAAAAGTAATCAAATTTCGGTATGATGCTGTCTCTCGCACCGAAGTGTTCGATACTTCGGTACGGTTTTTTAGAAAAAATTTGAGATGCTTCATTTCATTGTGTGTCGTAAGAAGCGTTTCTGAGTGCAGTTTAGCGTAGAATTTCTTTTTGCAAAATGTTTGCAAAAAGAAATTCCAATTTTTCAAAAAATTTTTCCGAATCAATAAGTTTTCCCTCGACCATCGTCCGGACAAACAGACAGATCCTGCAGTTCTGACCTAAACTGAGTGACAATTTTGGAAAACCCTTAGCGCGACGAATAGGGAAATCGATTTTGAAGTATGCCGGCGCTAGTGTAAAGTACAGAGTTTAAGGCGCTTAGTAAGACAGTCATAACTTTTGATCAAAGTATCGCTTAATCGATCGTTTCATCTATATTCATTGACTTTAGGGGTACCCCCTCCCCAAACATACTCTCAAACTTTGCGAATTTGTAGAGGACACCTTCAAGGATTTACGTGGGCAATAACTCACAGTTTGGATAAGTTTTGGCGGAGTGGTGAAATTTCTAAAAATTGAAAAAGTAGATTGGTAGCTATTTTGCACCAAGTGCAAAAAGTATTTCTTGCGCAGTCGCCCGCGTCAACGAAGCATTTTGGAAAGTTTTTGTCACTGCAGAAGTTGTTCATTGCATTCATCTTTACCGGATGACATATTTCTTTTTTAGAGCAAACTGTGTAGATAGAAATCTTTAGGTCATAAACTAGATCCGAGTTAGCAATCTGCTCGTAATTCTCGATTTTCTCAAACAGAACTCAACTTCTGTGTAATGCAGATCTCATATTCGGAATCAGGATCAAAGACTGAGTCGAATGAGGTGTATTTCGAAAGGGGGGAGTGGGGGGTACCCCCCTTAAGTCAATGAATATAGATGAAACATTCAGGTGGAATCCAGAGTGGCAGAAAAATTGTTGATTCTTCTTTCCACATCATACTGATGTTTTTAAAAGCTTTTCAAAAATATTTACTTGATCCAAATCACAATCTCTTTTTAACGAAATGTGTTACTATGTTTGTAGAAGAAGCCACTGTAATATTGACCGAAACTCCACGGAACTATCCTTGGCTGTTAAATTACAAAATATGAAAGTAGAATGCTGTACGAGAAACATGACGAAGTTTCGCAATGGTCAACTTAAAGTAAGCCTAATGCAAACTTACAGCAAAGTTTTTTTCCAACTTATTATACAACAGAATGTAGTGAAAAATGAATAGAAAAATAGTGTTTGATCAATTTCGAAGTTAAAGGCCTGTCCGAAACGAATCCTCTAAAATACCGCCAAGCAATTTTATCAACCTGTCTAGGTTTTTATATCAAGAGTTGAATTCGTCATTCAAACGTCATTAGATTCGCTGAAGGTCTGGCTCTAAAAATATCCTTCGCTTCACGTCCCGTATTACTATGCAACTCGTGTTTCTTTATAAATATGTAGTCTTCAAATATAGATCATTGTTCTACTTTTGCTTTTTCAACACATCCCGCGAAATAACAGACAGTGGCAGATCAAAGTTCCTTTCCAGGATGAGGAATAGAAAAAAAAAGATTTTTCTGAAAACTAGTGAGGAATATTTTATTTTTAGTTTGCTAGGCTCTATTTGAAGGACGAATACAAGAAAATGTAGCCAAAGGAAAAGGGTGGAATCTGCCTCCATTCCTCTAAATGACAACATGCATAGACAAATCTGTCTCAGAATAAATGCTGATAAAAAACAGGAAATGGTTTCGAAAACTTTTGAAATCCTATAGTGTATTTTTTCATGAAGCCATGTAAAATACTACACTAGCCCGCGGTCAAATGTTTGTTGTTCTCAAGTCAGGCGTCTATTTGAGCAAACGTTTGTTGGTCTCTCTTAAATATTCCATACACTTATCTAAATCTAATTTCATTTATTTACGAGTAATACTAATAACAATAAAAATAACAGAATAGATAACAATATGATCTAAATTAACAGATCGATGTTGATACACAAAGAAAAGAGTAAAATTAGAATTGTTTTTTTGTTTTTCTCGTATAAATGACGAAAAAAACGAGTCAAATTATATAATTTTATTTATACTTTACAAGTGAGACTCTAGTCGAAATTAACAACTTTGATCATAAGTATAACGAAAACTATATCTGACTAGACATAAGGAAGAATCATACAAACAGACGTATGTACAAAACTAATAAGTGTCTGATTTATCCACGTGCAGCCGATGTATTTTCACGATCATCAAACTGATTTAAATCCAATGTTAAACAATGACTCGTAATACAATCACCAGGCTAAAATAGACATAACAATAATATAAACAAATATTTTTTAAAATTTGTTATATTCGTTACATACTTCTGGATAAATGCCAACAAGTGCATCGGAACGAGAAAAAAATTGTTCTTTCAACGATATAACTAGACATTGAAATTCTTGTTGTGATTGTTCACGAATAAAATCGGCTACCTAAAATAATCATTAATATCAATTTTAACAATGGCGAAACAACATCAAATCATTTTCTTCTATACTTTTCCAATATTTGTATTATCCAAAGCAGCATCAACTTCATCCAAGAGAAAAAATGGAGCTGGTTTAAAACTAAATTAAGATAGAAATGAAGAATCGATTCTATTAATTTCATTTTTAGTATATCTATCTGTTCATTAGTTTCAATAATTTGCTAATAACTAAAGAAAAACGTACCTTCTCAAAGCAAACATCAATGCAATAGCGGCTACTGTCTTTTCTCCACCGGACAAATTTTCCATAGCTTGAAATCGTTTTCCTGGTGCTACACAATTATACGTAATACCACCCAAATAGGGTTCTTCTCCATTTTCAATTGTAAAACAAGCAACAGCTGCTTGTGAATTTGTCAATTGTTTATAAATTTCATCAATACAATTTGAAACATGTTCATAAAGTGAATTAAAACGTTCATAACGTTCTTTTTTAATTCGTTCAAAATTTTGTCTCGCTTTTTTTGCATGATTTCTGGCTCGTTCAAATTCAGCATTTGTTGCATCAAATGTTGTTTTAACATTTCGAATTTTATTATCAATCGATGTTGTCGTTGGTAATTGTTTTTGTAATTGAATTTCAATTTCTTGTAATTGTTTAATTATATCTTTTTCATGTTTATCAATTTTATCACTATCATACTGAAAAAATATATAAAAAACAGATAAAATATATTTCAAACAATTTAACAATATAGTAAATGAAAAGAATACAATACATACATGTTTATATTCATCTTTAAATTTTTTAAAATTCACTTCAAAACCATCTTCTATTTCATATATTTCTTTTGTTTGTTCTTGACTAGCTACCATTGTTGAATTACTCTGACTACTATTAGTATACGGTACATTTTGAGTATTTTGTGAACCACTTTGTATTGTTGTATCATCGGATGAACTTGTTTCTTGTGTAGATATTTCATCCATTGAACCAATTCGAAATGGTATTAGAATTTCATCCATCTAAAAAGAAATTGATTAAAGCATAATGTTTAGAGTTAACATTTCAAATCTATCGATGAAATCGATGTTTTTATTCAACACTATTTTTAATATTATCGCACATATGCGATAATATACTTACTTTTGCTATTCTATAATAATTATGTCGTTCCATTTTTAATTTTTCAATATCAGCTTCAATTAATTGTAAACGTTTTCTACTCTCATTAAATTCTTTATTCGATTGATTTACACGTTTTTGACAGTCTTGAATTTCTCCTTCTTTTATTTCTAATTGTTTTTTGAGATGAGCAATTTTCACTTTTCCATCTTCAATCTCAGTTTGTAAATCATCAATAATCTTGAAAAAGTACATATCATTATTAAAAAATTGCAACAATAACGATGCACGCGCGCGCGCGCGAGAGAGAGAGAGAGAGAGAGAGAGAAAGAGAGAAAATAAAATCATACCTTTTTATATTTTTTTTCATCTATTTTATATTTTTTTAAATCTTTTTCTAAATTTTCTACTTCATTTCGTATTTTATCACAGTACAATTGTGTATCACGTGATCGTTCATAATCTAACATTGTTTGAATTTTTGATTTTTGATTTTCAAATTCTAAACGTTTTTGTGCTCGTTGTTCAGCAACTAATAATTCTCGTTCTTCATAAACACTATAAATATCAGATAAAATACATCAAGAACTAAAAGGAAAATGAACAATATCATACCGAATATTTTTCACTTTAATTTGTTGACAAAAATTAATAAATATTCCATCTTCTACTTTATTTTTAGCATCACGTAATTTTTTTATCGTTTTTTCACGTTCTTCCATTCGTTCTAGTAATGTTTCTATCTTTGGCTAAAATAGAAGAGAACAGGTTTACTACACATAAAGCCTAAAACCTGTAAAGCTATCAATTCGATATAAGATCAGTAGTTTATGGAGAAATCATCCGATTAAGACTAAAGTTCGTTTCGCTTGTTTCAATACTGTCAATAATAGTATTATTCATCTTTTTTATGTCTTTTAATATACTACTAAGCCTACTAAGCCAGATTAATAGAACACTGCTTATATGCATACAACCAATTCTATACTCACATCAAATTCTGCAAGTTTTTCTCGAAATTTAACTAAATCCTCTTCGATTAATTGTCGTTGTTTTTTGTCACATGCATCTTTATCACCTTTGGAATAGCGAAGACGACTTTCGAGTTGTTGTAACTGAGCCCTATTCAATCAAATACGCAAAAAATATAAAACTATAGAATAAGTTTATTAAAGAAAATAATACTTACCGAGTATTATTTAATTCAGCTTCTCGTCGACGTTTTTTATTTTGTTCTTTTAATTCTTCAAATAATTTATCTTTTTGCATTCTTAAACTTTCCAAATGTTTTTCATCCCAACGTTTTGCACGTGCTTTCAGTTCACTATTAAAAATAAAAATGACATAATTGTTTTAGTCTGTTTATCTGATAGAAAAAAAAAATATGTACCTTGATCCACCAGAAATAACACCAGAACGACTAAATAATGTACCATCTAATGAGACGACCTAGAGAAAAATAAGAGTAATTAATGGTTTTGTAATAGGACTCTCTCTCTTCAAAGCATACTTTATATTTTTCTCCACCTTCATATGCTAGTTTTCGAGCATCTTCATCTGATTCACATACAAGTGAATTTCCACACGCATACAACAATGCTTTATAAAATTGTTTATCATATTTAATAACATCCAGAACAAGTTTAACATTTTTAGGTTCTTGTAATTCTCTAATAAAAAAAAGATAGAATATTGCATACATATCTGACTAATTGATGTATCAAAGATAATATACCGTAGTTTTTCACTGACTGGTGTTACTTTTATATAATCTAATGGTAAAAATGTTTCTGGTTCATAACGATGTTCTTTCATATAACGTAGACATGATTGAACAGTTGTTTCTCGTTCAACAATAATTGCATCCATATTACGACCTAATACTTTTGTTATTGCTACTTGAAAACGTTTGTGAGTTGGCTCACATAAATCAATTAAACGACCATACTTAAAAAATGACATATTGATCTACTAGATACTTAAATCAAACAAAATTACTTACAACACCACTAAATTGTTTCAAGTTTTCCATTAATTCTGCTTTACGTTGTGCACGACTTGTTTCATGGCGATCAACCTTTAAACGAAAAACGAAACATATTCGAAATTGAGAGAATGTTTATACAAATAAAGCTTTAAATAAACTTACTCTTGCTTCTCCCATTTCATTATTGATACGAGAAATTTGATCCTCAAGTTCTTGTGAACGTTGCTTTCCTTCAGCTACTTCTTTTTCTAGTTGCACGGAACTAGCTTGTTTTTCATTATATTCACGTTCCAATTCTCTAAAACATAAATATATTATTTAAAATTAGTTTCTGTTTTGAGCTCATAACAAATCTCAATATGTAACATATTTATTTTTGTGATTATCTGGTTCTCTGGTTCTTCACTGAAATAGACGCACACGTATACAAATATGGAGAACAAAAATGAATATGTTACATATTGAGATTTATATATCATACATGTATTCATACATGATCACTTTGAATGAAACAATCCCTTAAAATTTCAAAACTCACGTAGTTTTGCCTGCTATAAAGCTTAGGAATGTCGTATACCCACATCTGTTTAGAGCAGTACTTTCCTATGTAGATTTTTGGAACTCACTCTCCCTATCACCAACTAGAGCCCTGCAGGCCACGCCTAACCTGTCCTGTCCTGGCAGGTTAGGCTAGGTTTAGATTACGACTTCGCAGTTTAGGATAGGTTATAGGTTACGAACATTTTTACAGGACAGGTTACAGATTACACTACCCGTACCCTGTTTTCAACCTGCAAGGATAATATTAAGCGCCATCTGTAAAGGGGAAGAAATAAGAAATCGAAAAATAGTTTCTATTAGTCAAAAAAGAATATTTAGTACATCAGGAAGAGTATTGGAAACACGAAGACAATCGTTGAATCCAGATGTTGTTAACAATATATTATTGATCAGAAATTTCAGAGATGTGTGATCTTTTGTTGTTATATTTTGCTGCATAAAGTAAATGAAAAGAATTTACTTTATTAAGAAAAATTTTCGAACTTGGATACTCATTTTTTGCAGTAATTTTTTCGCAGGACAGGACAGAACAGGTTACGCAAAAAATATTGCAGGTTAGGACAAGTTATGAAAGGTCATAGATTGTTAAAGCTTTTACAGGACAGGTTATAGGTTATGAAAAAGTTGTAATCTACAGGTTATCACTAACGCATCTTCCGTACACACATCTGCAGATATTTTAACATTTTATAAATCCATTCAGATTATTTGATTCTCTGATTTGTTCTCCATGTCTGTATACCTGGGCGTCTATTTCAGCGGAGAATCAGAGAATCCGATAATCACAAAAATGAATATGTTACATATTTAGAATTGACATCTACTGGTTTTTAGCAATGGATAATTTACTCACTGTATATAAGTATTTAATTTTTCAATTTTTGTATTTAATTCTTCTAATTTTATTTCGCTTTGTTGTACTTTTGCTACATGATCTAATTTTCGTCGTTCTTCTTGTTCCAAATTTGTTTTATCAAATTTTTGTTCACGATCAATACTGTCATATTCCTCAATAAATTTGACCATTTTTTTACCAGCTTCTTCTTTTAAATGACGATATTCTTTCATCTAAAACAACAAAAAAAAAACAACTGAAGAGAGTAGTAATATTTCCTCTAGATTTCTCTATTTCTTACTTGATTCTCTTCCAATTGCAAATCTTTTCCTAGACTTTGTGATGTATCAGCTATTTCAGCTTCATAGTCTTGTGATAAACGTTTGACTTCTTCTAGATCTTGTTGATATTTTTCTATTTCACTATCATGAGCTACATGCGCTTTTTCAGCGTCTACAAGATTTTTTCTAAGACAAGAAACACACATGACAGTTGAAAAGAGAAAAAAAGAATAAACAAGGTAGAGATGATCTTCTTACTTTGATTGTTCAAGTTTCTTCTCACGATGTGTCGAATTTTCTTTGGCTTTAATGTATGTTGGTCGTTGTTTATTAATTTGTGTTTCCTAAATACGTTAGAAAAAAGATAGTCAAACAGTTCCTGACTATCTTCTTGACATAGTGAATAAATTCTACCTACCAATTCTTTAATTCGTTGTTCATAACCAGTTAAATCTTTATTCAATATTGCCAATTCTTTTTTCTTTGTTTTCGATTCTTCATCTGTTTTTTCTTTTTTTCGTTGATTTTTAAGCACATCTTGTTCTTTTTCTTTACATTTTTCACGTACTTCTGTTAATTCTTGACGATTATAATACAATTGAAATAATTTTAATTGTAATTGAGTATCATCCTATAAAAACAGAAAAATAAAAGAAAAAATGCCTTCTGCAAGATAATTAGGTTACTTACAAATTCTTTTTTTAAATTTTCATATTTTTGTGCTTCTTCTTTTTCTAATCGAACTTCTTTCTTTTGTTTTTCAATACCTTTTTTCTTTTGAAAATTCGCATGAGTATCTTGTTCGGCTTTATTTTTCTCTGTCTTTAATTGTTCATATTCTTCCTTCAATTCACCAGATCTAAATAACAAAGAAAACAATAAATATTACATAAACTGACTGTCAACTTTTGGCGTTTATATCTATGATCGCAGTTCGCTAAGCGAAAAGCTACTTGTTTCTTATTCTTATGACAAAAAACAAAAGATATCGATATCTACCTGCTTAATTCTTCAAACATTGCTGTAAATTCTTTTGGTGTTTTCATTGCAATTGATTCTACTTGTCCTTGAAATACTAGGAAATTTTTTGCTTTTGGTATAATGCACATATTTTCTAATTCCTCTTGATATTCACCATGAGAATATTGTTGATTATCAACACGATAATCCGAAGCGTTACCTGAAAAATATAATTATATTACAAAAATATAAATAAACTACTCAATAAATAAATCTAACCATTAATAATTCGTTGAAACCGTTTTTCAATTTCAGTTATACTTCCATCACGCGCTTTTTTCATCATAACAAAAACAAGTGTTACAGATGCTTTGGTACCGACGGGTTTACCGATTGGAGCACCATGTATTAATTCCTAGAAAAAACAAAACTGAATGCCACATGTTTGAATTTGATTCGTGATATTTGTGTATAATAAAATGGATGATCTTATTTTTTTATATGATATGATACTTTGTTTTCTGAAAATTTTAACTAATTCACCATCTTACTTTTGAAATAATAAGCATCGTTTATAGGAAAAGAGGAATTAGCTTTCCTAAAAAAGTTTTGGAATTTCTTTCTCCAGTCGGTTTCTGTTACAAAAACAAATTAGCTTTTTTCAGTTCCAAAAATAATCGAAAAATCTAATAGTGGACAATATACAGCGTAAAATCTGAAACATTGTAGCACATACCGAGAGCTTTCGTACGCGAAGACTTTTTGTGGGTTCACCCAAAACAAAACTGATTGCATCCATCAAGTTTGATTTACCTGAAACAAAAATGTCTATATTCTGTTTATCGTTACAGAAAAAAATGATCTTACCAGAACCATTCGGTCCTATAACAGCTGTAAATTTTCGTAATGGTCCAATAACAATTCGGCCTTTGTACGATTTAAAATTCTCAATTTCAACATATTTTAAAAAATAAGTCATGGTTATTGAACAACAAAATAAAATTATTCTATTAATCTAAATTAGTAATGTAGTCTCATCAGATACAAATAAAGGACCTTTCACGTTTCATTATCTACTTGTTAACTTCAAAGTTAATATGACTAGGATTTCTAACGACAAATTGTATAGTACCTGAGAAAGTAAATTATATATATAATTGAAATTTTTGAATATAATCTGCTGCGTAAAATAAATTATACAGTGTAGTAAACTGAAATTTAGATTTGCAGATTCTTATTTCACAAGATATTTACTTATAACGTGAAAAAAGATCAAAAGAAGATTAGTTGAAAGAGAAACAGACAACTGTTTTACACCATGTGAGAAAAAACAGAGTGTACACTGTACACTCTGAATCTCTGACGTACACTTTTTTTTTTCCAGTTTATGTAGAGAATACAGCATTTAGCGTCCAAGATGATTTTTGTTTTTACTGTGTACTCGGTATGTGATTTTTATTTTGACTGTCTGAACTTGTCCCGATTAAAGACATACGAAACATAATCTTTTGTGCTTTGGCATAATTGGACTTTTCAATCTTGTTACGCTTTGTTTTGAAAAACACCGACACATTCTGACTCTTAGTCTTATTAGAAACGCTGACTATACCTAAATTAGATGTAACTGGTTTTGTGAACTCGCTTTTTATCTCATATCGTTTAGTGTGTGATGAAAAGTTGTGACTAAAATCGTTTTTTTTTTGTTAAACAAGAGTTAAAATAAACTTACAGAAAGACCTTCGAAACTCTTGTGTATGAATGCTACTTTTTCTAGTTTACGTGCACTTTATCTAATTGAATCAAATAACAGAGTATAATGGTTTTGCTAATAAAATTTATCAGACAAAAAAATATCATTATAAAATAATGAATATAATAAGCGAACACAAAACAAGAAAACAAAGACAAGTTATCTTTAGCAGAACGATTTTGCCAGAGCACTTCAGAGTAACGGCTGCAAAATACATCAGATTTCGGCAATTATTCAAAAAACTGCTGCACAATTCTATTAAATCGCACGAACGTCGCGCGCGCAGCGAAGAGGGAGACAAAAGAGCTTACATGATTGGTGGGCCTATAATCATTCAATGGCGAATACAATTTTTGCCATCGATCATCTTTCAGGTCTATTCTTGTAAAGAGAAAACAAATTAATAATAAAAAACGCCTGTAATTAACGATTTCTGACTGAGGCATCGGAGGCCTGTATCCGAAAACATGTTTCAAACAGATTCAGTCTATTTAGAAGTGTGGCGACATCTTCCATCGCTAGATCAGCTTAAAAAGGTTTTCAAGAAACATATCTGATTATCGTATTTTAACCTTCGGGTGTTCTAAAGTTGTAAATTAAACGAGTGACCTAATTTCGGTCACGATTTTAGCTTCTTTTGTCGTTTTTTTACCGTAAACCCAGGCCGACCGTCACGCCTAAGTCGCGACGCGATCGCGATGTCACGATCGCGATCACCATCAACTCCTGACTGTCGCTTAGCGAACGCTATAAAGTCACGCTACCATGTCATGATCTTGGTAAACTCATGTTTTTTTAGAAAAAATATTTTGTCGGAATCCGGTCGCGATTTCATATTCACGTCGTGAGCGCTATACACTCGCGAAGCCACGTGAAGATCACTATACACTTACGAAGTCACGTCGCGATCTCGCGGCAGGACTCTAAATCTGCATCGATTCGATTCTTAAGAATTCAGTATAGTTTTTTCTTAGCGCGATCACTACCATATCGCTGTTTTGCGACACGACTCATATCACAGACAGTAATTGCGGCTATGCAGAACAATCTAGCTGAGTTTTAAAAAGTCGCGACGCGACTCTCGTCATGGAATTTTATTGGTGGATATCACTAGTCATTTTTTTGAATTTCAATTCCAATTTTTTTCTCCTATTTCAAAGTGAGAATTTAGTGTATATTTCGTATACAAATAGATAGTCCACATTCTGTTTATAACATAAATAGTATATACTATGTGTTATACTAAGGTTTCAAAGCTATGTGAAGACAAATATGTGTTTTTCTATATCTCGTTAGCCGATTCCAGATCCGTATTGGTTGGGATCATTATCTCTGAGTATGGCTTCCTTCTCGATCCGTTCTCGTCGTGCTTTTCGTCTTTTATATAGTCTTTGTTCGGGATCAAATTGAAGATCTTCTTTTATCCGCTCAATATCCATTTTTTTGAACATTTTGATAACGCCATACTTGGTGTTTATACTCAATGTTTTCCAAATCGGCACCAACCCAATAAATCCGTCATGGTAAATGATTGTTGCTAAATTTGCTGATAATTGAAGATGCTGTCGAGTGTGAAACCTTTTCTTGCTGCACATTGACCAAATCACTCGATGGTAGGATTCGTTGGCATTCGTTGGCATTCAGCACAGCACCTGTAGGAGTGAGCTTTCGAAGCATAGCTCAACATACGCTGGATGACTTGCTTCACAAACACGTGAAGGTAGACTATGTTCCTGATGTTGGTAATTATAGTTTAAATATAATCCGCAACGATCTGGTTTACAGAAATCATGATTTGGGTGTTTATCAGAGCTAGCAAAATGATACCATGCGGACCAACTTGCGACTTGCATTGATTTCAAGTCTTGAACATTTCCCTAGTCGAAACTCCCGGCAAAACTCCAACGGGAGTCCCAAGTTTATGAAAAACTCCAGTAGGAATCGTAAGGAGTCCTGATGACTCTCGCAGGAACTTTCTAAAGTGAAAAGTCCAACATGGAGTCATGAGGAGTCCCCAAAAAATTCTTGCAGGAGTCCTGTCGAGAGTCCTGTTGGAGAAAATCATGCATGGAGTCATGAGGAATTCAAAAAAAATTCCTGCAGGAGTCCTGTTGGAGAAAGTCATGCATGGATTCCTACAGAACTCCTCAGAGAG